TCCATATAATAAGCCTGCAGAACCCAGGGCTAGTAGTGAACCTACTTTAAATTTACAAGACGATAGTTGGAATGGTTTAAACCATAAAATTGGTAATGTTAAAGATGGGGAGTTTGTAGATGATGTATCAACTTTGGGACAGACATTAACTAGAAAAGGTGGTGTCTTTTTACAAGGTAAAACTAAATATGAGTTTTTAGAATCTAAGAATAAAAATTGGAATGCTAAAAAACAGAAAATTACTAATGTGGAAAAGGGTGAAAGTTTAGATGATGTGCCCACTTTACAACAGACTTTAATACGAACAGATGGTGGTACATTTGTACAAGACAATAATAATTATGAATTTTTAGAATCAGAGAATGGTGTTTGGAATGCTAAGAAACGGAAAATTACTAATGTAGAAAAGGGTGAAAGTTTAGATGATGTGCCCACTTTACGACAGACTTTAATACGAAAAGAAGATGGTAAATTTATACAAGATGATAATAATTATGAATTTTTAGAATCAGAGAATGGTGTTTGGAATGCTAAGAAACAAAAACTTAGCAATTTGATGGAAGGTACAGATAGTAAAGATGCTGTGAATGTTTCACAAGTTCCAAAAATGGAAGCAGGCTATTGGAGTTTTTATAATAAAAGGTTAGTACGTGTTAAACCTGCCATTGATGAAACTGACTGTGTTATAAAAGAACAGACTATAACTTTTGATAAAAAAGAAAAATGTTGGGATGCCAAAAAAATATTTATAAGGAATCTACCAGAGGGGGAACATTCGGATGATATTTGTCTAATGTCACAATCTATGCATTACGATGGATCAAAATTTGTATATGGAGAAAAAAATTTTAATTTGATGGAATATAATCCTGATTTATTAGTTGCTGACCCCACATCTTTGAGTGGATTTAAGTATATAGATAATAGACCATATATACCAGAAAACTATGTATTTAAAAGAATGGAAGATAATCTATTGATTGGGGCTAATGGTAATGTATTTAGAGTTACAGGAAAGGATGATGTTATAAAAAATGAATGAAATTGCATACGAACTTCATAAGCCTGCAAGAAAGAATTTCATTAGAAGGTCTTTTAAAGTATTGGGTATAAACGAAACCATACAAATAGATTTAAATGATATGCAAAACTATGCTAGAGAGAATTCTGGCAATAAATATATTTTAACTTTAATAGATACATTTTCTAAAAAAGCTTATGCTGCTCCACTAAAGAATAAGACAGGGTTGGTGGTTACAGAAGCCATTAAAACCATTCTACCAAAGGGGGTTAAAAACATTCAATCCGACAATGGAAAAGAATTTTTTAATCAATATTTTAGCAAACTAATGAAAAAATTTAATATTAATCACTATCACACATTTTCTACAACTAAGGCTGCAATTGTGGAGAGGTTTCAGAGAACTTTAAAGAATTGGTTATATAGAGAATTTAGTGCTCAGGGGAGTTATAAATGGTTGGATTTACTTCCAAAGTTAATTCGAAAATATAATAATAAAGTGCATAGATCTATAGGTATGAAGCCTAACCAAGTGAATATTAAGAACAGTAAATATGTGCATGAGAGGTTGACTTCTAAAGTAGTGCAAGTTAAAAAGCCAAGATATAAGGTAGGTGATAGCGTGAGAATTTCCAAATATAAACATGTGTTTAGTAAAGGATATACCCCAAATTGGACAGGGGAACTATTTACAATAGTAGAAGTTAAGAATACAAAGCCTGTGACTTATATCTTGAAAGATGAAAATGGTAATATAATCAGAGGAGGCTTCTATACAGAGGAGTTGTTAAAGACCAAATATAAAGACATGTATTTAGTAGAAAAGGTAATTAGGAGAAAGGGTGATTCGTTGTATGTCAAATGGCTTGGGTTCCCAAGTAGCCAGAACTCGTGGATTTCCACTAAGGATGTCCAAGGGAGCGCGCCATGAGCCGGGAGCGCGCCCGAGTTCGCGTACAAACCTCGCACTGTCAAGTTGATGATTTTGTGAATGGATGTGGATTTGAAATAGTAATGGAGTTGTACAATGGTATTGAACATTTATATAGGCTTGTATAGGCAAAGATCAGGGTCTTAAAAAAAGTGGCCAAAAATAATCCCCATAAGAATAACATGGGAAAAACGTGCCCCAAGTGCCGACTCTTTCTTCTATTGTCACTACTCTACATTTACACTTGTAAGGGTCAATAAATATAAGAAATAGCTTTTTTAGCTTAATATAGAATATATTTATAGGGAATAAGTAAGAAATAAGGTTTGACAATTATATAGAGATATTTAGGCAAAGATCAGGATTTTTGGTTTTAGTGGCAAAAAAATGATCCCCATGTTTTTTCCCATAAGAATAACATGGGATCAGGATTTTTGGTTTTAGTGGCCAAAAAATGATCCCATGTTATTTCTTATGGGAAAACGTGCCCCAAGTGCCGACTCTTTCTTCTATTGTCACTACTTATTTGGAACTGCAAATTTGGAACATGTTTTTATTTCTTACTAACAATTAACATTTTACATAAAAAAAAACACTTTTACCCTCCCTGTTGCAGCAAACCTAAGTATGTGTTAAACTGATTCTATTTAAATAGGGATAAATGTGATATTTTTAAGGAGACATTTTAGTGTAAATCCAATCAGGCAAATGGAAATTCGCTTAGTCTGCAGGTTTGCTGCGGCGGGGGTATTAATTAATAATTGAGGTGATGCAATACACTTATGTAGGCAGTCGCAGCAGTCGAAGCCGGGCATAGCGCCTAGAGTTTCACGAACGCAAACCGCACAACGAGTAGCTAAATGAGCCGTAGAGTAAGTGAGCCATCTAATATTTTGAAGAGGGTTCACTTACTCTACAGATCATAGTGCCTATGATCTCTAGTGTAAGTGAGCCATCTAATATTTTTCTGCAGGCTCGTATAGTATACGAGCCTATTCCTATAATTTATATTATTCACTATTTTGGCTCGTATACCATACGAGCCGATTCCTGAATTATCAAATAATTCGTACGCTTGGCTCATAGTCACTATGATCTGTAGAGTAAGCGAACCTTCATACTGTATTTTTAAATATAATACACGAGGCTCATAGTCACTATGATTTGTAGAGTAAGTGAACCCTCTTCATTTATTTTCGATAGGCTCGTATAGTATACGAGCCTGTAGTGCAAGTGAACCTTCAATATTATTTAAAAAGCTCGTATAGACTATGATCTGTAGAGTAAGTGAGCTGTCCCCATCCAATTCAGTAAAGACTTATTTTTGATCATCGCTTGCTTGGTAAGGACAGCGGTGGCCAGACCATCAAAATCCCAATACATGTAGTCTTATGGCAGAACAACCAAACAGCGCTGAGGGTGCCATGACGTGATTCCAATGTTTTAGGACATTTTCAGGACAGATCCATTTGCAGACACTGTCATTAAGTTATATAAAGCCTTGGAAACAAGTTTAAATAAATAGCTATATATATTGAAGACTAGGCCTATGTGTGTTTGTATTACAAAGCGTTTTTTTCAATTCTTTGACAAACGTGAATGATGTTAGGCTTTCGTTTGTATATAAAAATATGCAGAGCCCTCCCACCACCTATGAACACCAGTGGCTACTGAGCAGACAAGTTAGACAAAGTTGGTGGATTGCCCATCAACACAAATCCAAATCATGTTCCAATAACGAATGGAAAGTTTGGGCGCAATGGGTAGGATTGGTGAGCAAGAAGTTCTGGAAACAAAGCACCTCCTATGAGAATATCAATATTCTGAGGTTATGAAAGGTCGGATCTGCTAGAACCAAAGGCTTTACCCGTTCAGAGAGTTGAGTACACCTCAAAAGAGAGTTGAGTACGAGGCACAATGATGAGCTGGCCTGCCAATGAATACTGAACACTATGCATGGGAGACCCATGGTTATATTGCAAGATCTGTTTGTCTCTATGCAAGGAGCAATCCCACAAAAGGGGTACAGGTTGTTCAGGGACATCCTGTAATTTTCTTTTTCCTGGGTGTATTGGTTTGGCAACGTGTGTGCCAATTTGTCTGATGTGACTGATTGTTTGATAATCCAAGCCTCGATAATGTAACAATCAATTCTTTTTGTTTTGGATAAATGTGCCAATGGGACTGGGTTTCAAAGTGAGATCTAATGCAATATTCCAATATTACATAGATTTATGAGGAACAAGTTTGAACTAAATACCCCCGCCGCAGCAAACCTGCAGACTAAGCGAATTTCCACTAACCTGATTGGATTTACACTAAAATGCCTCCATAAAAATAGCACATTTATTTCCTATTTAAATAGAATTAGTTTAACGAGTACTTAGGTTTGCTGCAACAGGGAGGCTAAAAAAGATTTTTTTATAAAATGATAATAGTTTAGTAAGAAATAAAAGTATTTAATCCAAAATCGACCAAAATATGTTCAAAAACAAGCAAACACAACAGTTGACTTATTCTCCATAAGAATAACATGGGAATTTTAAAATTACAATTTTTTTGAATTTTCTCCGTAACAATTAGGCGCATAATAACGCTTCAATATACTAAATTATTTGTTTTTTTAAGCTCTACAAAATGTTTTTAAAAGAAATTGTGAAATTTTGTGTTTTTAGGGTCAAAAATGGGAAAAACCTATTTTTACCCCATAAAACCCCCCATAAACCCCCGTTCCCATAGTCCGATCATGCTGGTTCGCGAACTCATTCAAGTTTATCGCCCCTTACACCTTCAAACCAAATTTTATCAAAATCGGACAAAAATTACTCAAGTTATCGTGCGGATGGACACATATATATATCTATATATAGATATATAAAAATTTGAACAAATGGTGTTTTTGGCCTCTGGGGACATCAAAATGAAAAAGTAAATCGGTCCCGGGCTTAGGTCTTACCATGAGACCTACGGTAATAGCTACTTCCCTATAGGGAAATTCGCTAAAACTAATCAAATATAACAGGAATTCAATAAATCAAAAAGACAAACTATAAAATATAACTTAATAATTATATTTCCAAGGTAACAGTTTTGATTTCAGTACACGTCATCTGAAAGTCTGATATATGTACCAAACCAATCAATATTTTTGGCAACTATTATATACAAAAGTTCTTTGAAACGTACAACTTATAACAAGTATGTCTAAAAGTATGAGATATTGACAAAAATATCAAATCTCTTAACAGTATTCAATCATAGTATAAAGAAAACAGGCATCCATATAAAATCAAATGTATTCCGTTAGTTTATGTAATTGCATTTTTGGTTTAAGTTACAAGTGAATTGCCTTAATCGCAAAAAGTAAAACAGCCTATCTCTTCTACAATAATGTACACTTAAAAGAAAATAAAAAATCACAGACCTAGACTGCTCGCAGCAACAATTTTTGTGCCGCATTTGTTTACACACTTTATACATCATACGCTCAAGGGTTTTGTACAATGGAAACACCTATACAATTGATGCTGGGTTAACGGATACCTTTAGTATATCCAGCATCCATTAAATAAATACTCGGTAGTAAAAAGGATTATCCTAGCCCTTTGTTTTGCTGTACATGGAATTTTACTATTTAGAAAAATATATACGATTAAAAAAGTTTATTCGCAAACTTGCGACACTAGTTTCTCCATGTCTTGTTGCCAGGTCGGTTCATCTACGTCTGCTAGATCTTCCATCCCTAGGGGTGGTTTCAGTTTGGCTAGTTCTTCACACAGTTGCTGATAATGTCGCTAGAAAATAAAACGCAATTATAAACAAACATTTTCAAAGCAACAAGAGGTTTTGTAAATCATAATAACTAGTGACAACTATTGTTCTTTCTAAGTTAACTTATTCAAATCAATATGCATTTTACTCAATGAACAATGTGAAAAATGGGTTTAAGTAATTTAAGTTGAAACCTTGAGAGCCATGGTGTTGAGGGAGATGGTACGGCCAGTGCGTCTATCTGCTGCCTGAGACTCCATGTCACTTATCCATCCTTCTATCTGCTTCTTGATCTCCTTGCGCTTCATCCAGAAGTGAGTTTGTATCACCTGAATGGACAATGAAATGAAAAACGTCTTTATTTAGCCAGCGTTATTCAAAGAACAGTTCTTTGTTTTTCAATACAACTGTTGTCAAACTAAACGTAATTAATCAGCTTATACTAGACTTATTGCAACAATACATTTTATATCAACTGGGTAATTTATTGGTATAAAATACACCTTTCAAACCCCTTTTAAACCTAGAGAGGTTTACTGATTTGAGGTCAGTTGGAAGGGCATTGTAGGCTTGGGGCCCAAAGTAAGAAAAGGCTTTCTTCCCTAATTCCGTTCTGACCCGTGGCAAGTGTAGCAAGCCTTCCTGCTGAGTGAGGCGAATGCTCACCTCAGACCTGAAAACCAGTTTCCTTCTTATGTATTGGGGACACTCCGTTAACAAAGTTTTATGAAGAATGAGAACGGTTTGAAGGTCACAGCATTGTTTAACTGTCAAGATGTTTGCCCTTGACCTATACTCGCTGATAGCCGACCTTTTTAAGTTGAAGACAAATCTCAGAGCACTGTTCTGAAGTCTTGTGAGAATATTTATATTCTCTTGAGTAAGGCTGTTACCAAAAGAGGGAAGAGCATAATAAATAGATGGAAGAACTATAGCACGAACTATTTCAAGTTTGGTTGACATTGGTAGAACAAACCTAAACCTATTAAATAATCGTAATTTAGCAACAACAGTTTTACAGATGTGTCTCACATGTTCAGAAAAATTGAGCCTAGAGTCCAATTTGACACCAAGGAATTTTAATGAATCGCTAACAGGCAACGGCGTATCATTTAGAAGAACTTCACAATCAGTATCCTTGTTGTGTTGGCTTTGCACAGAGTAGTTTACGATTCTTAAAACAGAACACTTGTCAGGATTCAGCTGAAGACCATGATCATTAGACCATTTATTAACACTTATCAAGTCGCTATTCATGCGGGTGACTGCTTCAGGAAACTCAGGCAAAGGGTAGGATAAAATAAGGTGCGAGTCGTCGGCGTAAGAATGGACAGAGCAGTGACTAAGCTGTGACTCAAGGTCGGCAGTGTAAATCAAGAAGAGGATAGGACCTAAGCAACTGCCCTGGGGAACCCCGGACACTTTTGGTAAAAAATATGAAACCTGATCATTAACTCGAGTTTGTTGTGACCTATTACGGATATAGGAGGAAAACCACTGCACAGATCGACTATCAAATTGGTAAAAACTCAGTTTGACTAACAGAAGATCGAAACTAACTGAATCGAATGCCTGTGAAAAGTCCAATCCAGTTACAATACTACCCCAATTTCTATCTCTTGCACAAATCAATTCATCCATGACATTCAGAAGAGCTGAACTAGTGCTGAACCCCCTTCGAAAACCTGACTGTGTTTTAGGAAGAATTTCCTCTGACTCAAGATACGAGACTAATTGCTCTCCAATCACTTTTTCCAATATTTTGGAAATCACTGGAAGAATTGAAATGGGTCTGAAATCAGAAACACATTAGCGGAATTATAATACTCTGTTTCCAGGCACTGGGAAAAATGCCAGTAGTCATGGACAAATTTACAAGATGACAAATAGCAGAATCACAATAATAACTCAACGATTTAACCATATCAATAGAAATGCCGTCCACACCAACGGCTCGGGTTGTGATGCTCTTCATGACATCCCTGATTCGTTTCTCTGTCACTAGACTGAATGAGAATTTATTCTTCACTTGGCTACTTAGGTTCTCAGCGTAGAACTCAATCCTGCCCCTGTCTAAACAACCGTTGCCGCCCATTGTAGAGAAAGATTTATTCAAGTCCTCAGGAGAGAAGGTACACTCATTTTCTCTGCTCGAGCCCAGTACGCCATTGCTTCTCAACGATGACCAAACACCTTTTGGGTCTTTATTCTTTAATTGACTTGAGAAGTACCGCTTTTTTGCGCTTCTTATGGCCGAGTTTAATGTGTTTCTTGCTTTAGTGTATGCAGATCTGGTCGAGCTGTTCCTACAACTCAAGAACGCTTTATGGCAATTGTTCTTAATTTTTTTCAGAGACAAAATATGATCGTCTCTCCATGGAGCTCTTTTCCTCGTTACACGTCTTCTAACAACCGGTGCACAAGAATTGAAAATGTGCAATATTTCATTATTTAGAGCATAAACAACTTCATCAACTTCTTTGAGGGAAGCTATTTCATCCCAGTCACACTTTGATGCTAGTTCGGTAAAGAGGTCCAGATCAAGGTTTTTCAGATTTCTGTAAGTTACATATTTCAATTTGCTCTTCTTTTTACAATAAGGAAAATCGCAAAAAACCAAATTGTGATCCGTTATTTTTCTTCCAGCAGAATCAAGAATCTTCGCTGTGTCAATCATTCCAACATCGAGTTTAATATTCTTTTCTACAATTATAAGATCTATCAGGGAAGAAGAGGATTCAGTCACACGTGTTGGCTCCTTGACAAGTTGATTTAGGTTCAAAGCTTGGAGAATTGATGACAGATACTTGGAATCAGGTTTTGTCATGTCCAGCAGATTGACATTGAAATCACCCTGTAGTATGATGGAATCCACCTCTGAGGCCTGATCTATAAACAAAGCATACAACAATGAGCTAAGAGAAGAATAAGGTGCAGAAGGTGGTCTATATGCAAAGCAGATACATAACTTTGTGTCCTTGAAATTGACGACTCCACAAATATATTCGATGGAACAATCAACATTTTGAAGTTGCATGGAAGAGAAGCTCAAACCATTTTTAATGTACAAGGCCACGCCACCCCCAATTCTTCCAATCCTGTCATTTCGGATCAAATTGTAGCCAGAAATGTCATAAACACTCGAGGAATCCTCAGGTGACAACCACGATTCCGTAATGCCCAGCAGATCAAACTGAAAGTCCTCCACAATTGTACAAATCTCCTGGAAACCAGTGTTCAGGGAGCGAAAATTAACATGAGCTATCTTAAAACTTGAGAGGGTTGACCTGTCTCGTTTCCCGACAGAGGTATTGGTTGCGGGTAACTTGGAAGACTAGATAGGACAGATACTACAGAATCATTACAAGGAGTTACATTGACTCTTTGTGAATCTCTGTTTTCATGAGACTTCATCATAGCTTGACATAGGAACTCACTAAGAAGATGATTTCCAAGACGACTTAAATGCCTACCACCACGAGCCAAATGGCGCTTAGAAACCAATTGAGAAGCATCGACAAACTCTACTCCAAAGTTGTTGCACATAAGAAATAGTTGCTCATTAAAAAGTGAAAGGGCTCGATGACTCACGTCACTCCGAATAAGGACGCTGTTCAAAAGGATTCTAGCTCTAGGGAAGGCGGACTTGGCCACACTCAGCAGGTCAGCCATGGAGTGCAACGCAACTTTGTGTTATTGATTTACCAAAACACCAACCAATGTTTACCCAGTTTCTTAAGTTACTCAATTATTTTCAGATCATATTCCAGAAAATGTTTTGGGACGCTGTAGCTACTTTTTTGGAAATGTAGCAGTAGTAGTAGATTTAAATTATAGCTACATTTTAAAAGTAGCTTCCCCAACACTGCGCTTGTGGTTTCATCATTAGAAAGATCAAATATCCATAACAAATATTTTAACTTATAAAATAAGATTGTAGATTAGTTACAAGTTTAATATGAAGCCATAAACAGTTTTATGGCAGTAGGCAACAACGATGTAAAGAACTACTGGATTGCACTCTCAGTAGCACTGCGGGCGCTGTTTTCGGTCTAGCTCCCCTCACCTACTGGCAGTAACCGACGCAGCCCATACACTCACCATTGTAAAACACACCTTTATAAGTTGCTGCTCTGTTAAAATATATAAGATATAAAATTTTGCTAATGCATGCCAAACTCTTTTTACTATTCTAAACTTTATGTCTGTTTCTTTTCTTGCAGAAAATTAAAATAACACATTTGAACTCTTCAAAACCCGACTACATTTGTTCAGTTTTTACCGCAGATGTTTGACATTAACCCTCTAGGTGTCGCATTGAACACCTGTAAATGTCACTCAATTTTCGAGACTTTTGCGGAGTTTGATTAAAAAATCTAAATGATGACATAGATATATAACATTGTATATTTTCTTAACCCTAGGAGTGGCAGATCGACAGAAAATGTCGATTTCAAAATGTGCCGCTGGAGTGGCGGGCGACAGAATATGTCGATTTATGTAACGTTTTTTTCAGTTGCATGTTAAGCCCATTTAAAGTCGGTGAAATGACATAACTCTTATACCAATGGAAAGATAAGATTCCGAAGTTTCATTTTATTATAAGAATAAACCTTATAACATAAATACATCGATCTTATAATGAGTTACATTTAAACAAAAAATACGCGCGAACTCGCGAACGCCATGTTTTGTTACGCAATCGTCAATGATGAGTCATTTCAAAACTAAATAGCAGACGTAATTTTTGTCTGTGACAAAAGCAAGTGGTACCACTGTAACAAGCATGAAGAAATCTTTTATTCTGTATAAAGTATAACGTCATAATACATTCCAACAGCTGATGAACAATTTTTGTAAATAGCCTATTTTTACGTATTGTTCATGTGGCGGATCGACATAAAATGTCGATTTCTAAATCGCATATATATACAATGTGAAAAGTACAAAAACGTTGTTTTATATACGCTCTTGTAGACGAAGGACAGTAGAATTCAATGTTGTTAGGCTGGTCACACAAATAGAAGCTTTTGATTTTTCAAAGCTAAAGGAACAGAACACTTGTCATCGTCTAACCTAAAATGGCGGCGTCGTCGTGAGTTTTTGTCCGATAACAAAGACGAAGTGTGGGTTTTATCCCTATTTTACAGTGTAATGTTCGTTTTATGTTTTTATTTTGTATTAGGCGAAATATTTATGCATTATTTTGCATAAATATTTATACATGTGTGATCCAAAATAGGATAAAAAGTTAGTGAAGTTTTGTGGGCTATAACAGCTGATCAGTTGTTTTGTTTACATTTTTGCTTTTGTGAAAACCAAATATTCTATTATCTTATTTAGTTATTCTTATATAGAATGATATTATTGGCTTCAAAAAATGTATGGTTTTATCATATTGATTTATTAGTAGGGGGCATTTGTGGATCTATCAACGTGTAGTTGAAGAAATTGACGTTTTCCAATTTTTCCGTATTATTGCTAGTAAATCTATGAAAATAATTCTTTTGTGTATATTTATGATATGTCTATGTAGAGGAATAAATTCTGAACAAAATGCATATTTTGAATTGTGCAATAAAAAATTACGTTACATGTGACACGTGTTTGCTTTTGAAATAAAATTTGAAAAATTTATAAATTTTCTTTTTTTTTACTTTTTTCTAAAAATCTACCTTTCTAAAATTGGTTTGTATTACCATTTTTGAATTCTACTGACTATTACGAACAAAATGAATATACGGTTCAATAGTTTATCTCTACATACTAATTTTATACAGATTTTTGAAGAACTCCCTTACAAATTCATCAAAATGAGCGTGCCACTCCACAAAGCACATACTGAAAATCAGTCTCGCCACTCCTAGGGTTAAAGCAAATAAAATTGTCTATCTAAAAATGTATGATATTAGTGTCCTACCTTGTATAAAAGCAATATGTTGTTGGTTCAAATCCAGATGTTCCAAAAAAAAGTTTTTAATTTTTTACATAACCGCATATGTAAAAAAAATCACTATATTTACAAAAACTGAGATATACATTTTATTCTAAATATAATAAGGAAAAAGAAAATATATAGTTTCACCCTGTTTTTCTTTATAATAACTCTAAAAATCACGACACACAACAACAGTACAACGTAAACATTTGTTCCCTAGCAACCGAAACAAACAATGACATTATGGAAAACTATCACAGAACAAGATAAATAGTTCGGGAAACGGCCATCTTTTATACTCACCATGAAGCCCAGAATCTCCTGAACACGTTAGTATGCCCAATGACCGGGTTTGTTCGATCTTGTGGGATTATATCAACTGAAACCGTAGACCTGTCAAGTCGCCGTAATTACGGTGATTGACACTTGTGGCAAAAAAATAGTCGCCGTAATTACGTCGATTGACGCCTAGAGGGTTAACACAAAATAGGTCTACATTTTTATTTCACTTTTTTGTAAGATACATTGTCATTATACACATTGAAAGAAAAGGTATCAAGTTTACGTCAAACATAGGTCTGCAGCAAAAAATTAGCAAAATTTATTCTATTCAGAAATGTTTATGTAAAATTTTTTAGTTTGATAATATTGGTTTAAAATTACAAATATTGTACTTTCAATTTCTCCTTTGTAATTACTTATTATTTTACCATGCAAAATTTGGAACTAGCAATATCAGTTGCCTAAAAACATCTACAAATCAAGTTTAGAGAATTTGTAGTTTCAAAGAATTCAGATGGGTTATTTTCTGCAAGAAACAAAACAGACATAAAGGTTTAAATAGTAAAACGAGTTTGACATGCATTAGCAATATTTTATCCCTATTTACTCCAACAGAGCAGCAACTACAAATGTGCGTTTTATAAATGTGAGTGTATGGGCTGCGTCGCCTTCAGTCAGTAGATGGGGGGGAAGCTAGACCGCGCGGCCAAAACTGAGCCAGCGATCCATGAGTTCTTTATATCGTTGGTAGGCAATGGAAAATTGAATATTCACGAAAATACTGACTGAGTTAGAGATAAAATTTAACAGTCATCATAAAACTATTATTTTTATGATAAAATAGAATTGGGGAAAGTCGTAAAGGAATACAAGTGATAAAACACAAAAGATCTTTGAAGTACTTGAGTACAACAATTATTGTCGAGATAAAATGTTATTTGGGACTGCTAATGAATTTTTTAATTATAATAAGCTGTACCGAACTGAATTTGTAGTGCGTAAAATGCTGTACCAAACCGATGACGGTAATTAAGCCAGAACCGTACCCTACCGACTTTTTCGGTGCACCGCTGACCCCTACAAAAGATACTAAAGCAAAGATAGTTGCCCTGATGATAGGAAATATATTTTCTCTTAAATTTCAGAAGTCGTCCATCCCTACAATGGATCCTTTATAAAAAATTGTATAAGAGAGATGTATAACATTGTATAAGAGTTGTCACAATTTAACCATGTTGGGATTCATTCTGCAAACAAAAATCTTTAGAGTTCAGTAATAAGAGTACAAATGATGTAAAATCAACAATTAGGAAAATTTGATTTTATAGCACAAAGGCTAGTTGGTAATTCATAAGACCATTAGCATTAGCGGCAGAGGGTAGGTCGGGCTGTGCAAATAAGTGTCCCTGCGCGGGTGTGAGTGAGGGTCGCTCTAATCCTCCAGGGCGTAGAAGACTTTGGTCAAACTATAGTAATTACAGCTTGTAGGCCAAAATATGACCAAGATTATTTAGTCCACCATGTTATTGTTCAAAGCAAAATAGCAATCAAGTACTTTAATTTAGCTGAAAATGTTTTGATTGGCTCAGATAAAAAAATAGTTATATAGATTTTAGGTAGTTATCAAATACAATTTCAATTGTTTACACAGACTACTGTGTACCTGTTTAAAGCAAGGCGAAGGGTTGCGTAGCTGCTCTAGCATGGCCCACTTGACTGTCGCTTGGCAGATGTTAGAGTTGTACTCTCTAGAGCTCTGATTGCCAGCTTGTGTACCTCGAGACCTCTCATAGCCAGGCTCATTGAAGTACGGCTCAGGGACTAGAATAAGGGACTGAATCGACACCAACACCTGTAGATCAACAATGTTTTAGTTAGGGGTGTGCGAATAGTGATTTTCAACCTCGAGCCGAGCCGAGCCGAGCTTTTTAAAATATTTTCGAGCTCGAGCTTTTTCGAGCCGAGCTTTTCCTAGCGTCACCTTATAATAATAATAATAATAAATCTTTATTGTCGTTTGGTAATATAAACATTACAATAGACAAGGTCAACATGTTTAGTTACATATGTTAAATAAAATATTAAATATTCTACAGAAAATGTTAAAATAAAGTTAAAACGATAAAGCATCAGTAATAATAAAAACTTTAAAATTAACAGGGAAAAGACCATAACAAGAACAAAGAATCATCAAGACTGCTTGGCCTCACATTTAAGCGTTAAAAAATCTTCATTCTGCAAAAACTTATCAACTGAATAAAAAGCACGACTTGTAAGCCAATCTGATAATTTTGACCTATACAAATGAATACTTTCCTGATTTCTAAAATATATTGGAAGTTTATTAAATAGTTTTATTTGCAAGTATTTATAACTTTTGATAAATTTTGATAGCCTGGCTTGAGGAATATATAAATCTTTTGATTGTCTGGTGATATACCCATGGATTGAGTTGCAAGGAACAAATTTATTCAGATTCTCTTTAACGGAAACTAAATTGTAAAAAATGAAAATATTAGAGAGTGTTATGATTTTATTTTCAGCAAAAAATGTTTTGCAACTAACCCTATCTGGAATTTCAAACATAATTCTGAATTCTGAACATTATCAAAAAAATAAATTATTAAACATTTTTCTTCAAAAAGTGCATAATAATAATAATGTTCAGTCAATTTTTAAATAAACACAATATTATTTTAATATGTCTAAAAACATTGAGAATTGTCAAGACATCAAATAGTAGATAATCACGATAAGAACTGAACTGAACTAAATTAAGATGCAAGAAATAAAAGGATATGATTGAAGGCCTGACGAGATATGCAGTGCAGACTGAGCCAATCAGATTGTCTTTCATAACAGAACAGCGCTATCTTGAATGACAACAAAACAACTAGCAAGTCGATTAAATATGTATATTGTAACTACTATGAATATTTTATTCCATTTTGTATAAATAAATAAATATAAAAACACGTGATTATTCTTGTTGTTTTCCATGCACAAAATATTTTTGTTTTATGAATCGTATTAATCAAAAAGAACATGATTGGTTTGGATCCAAAAAGGTGAAGAGACAAAGTAAAAAGTAAAATTATATATTAAAAAATATATAATTGACATATAGAGGAAATAGACCAAAACACTAAAATTAATAGAATAACACACAAAGTAAACAAGAAATGAAATAATGAACACGATGATTTAACACTGTCACTTAATTCTGTTATCTAGAAGGGTCGGTGAACTAATCAATAAATAGCCAAAACCAGTTTCCTCCCCCATTTCTCTCTCAGTCTCACCACCACCCCTCCCCCCCTGAGCCGGGAGGCCCAGCACTTTGTCCTTGAAACACCCTAGCCTCTGAAACAATAAACCCTTACACCCGCGTTGCTGTTTTGACAACAGGGTTATGAATGCATTCACTATTTTTCATTTTCCAGGATTAACTCTCAATTATTATTATTTGCAAGTTACAAATAGGAAACTACATCACATTATGGTATTCAATGACCCATGTATTATCAAAAATTAATAATCCATTACTTATTTTGATAATAAAAAGCATTCATTACAGCACGCACCACTTATTGATATTTAAATAATCATCAAAGTAACTGTTACTTTATACAAAATAAAATAGGTACAAAATTGTGTGGCCAGTCAAACTTTAAAAACAAACATTTTATTCTATAAAATACAGATGGTAAATAGGGGTTGGTTTAAAGGAAATAAAATACAAAACAGATAATTAATTATTTTGATAAACATTAGAAAGGTTATGGGATTGATTGAACTAAAATAACCGCAGGGAAACTTATAAGTAGAAAAGTCGTTAACCACAATCTGTTTAATCAGTACATTGTTAGAGAGAGCAGAGAGAGAAAGAGAGATAGCAGATAGGGGCGTTTGATAAGGAATCTGAAAAAGTAAACAAACAAGGAACAACGACACAACACGACTGATACTTGTTTACAGCCTTATTGTGTTGCCCACTACATTTGCACACGTGACCACTTTTTGTTTCTTCCTTATCTTTCATCCGTCCCAAAATAGAATTCCTGAAATTGTTTGTTGGTATAATCTCCCCTCCCACACAAGGCGCAGTGCTCAGTGCGCACTGTAGGTTGTCACGGCAACCGTGTGTCGTCAAACTCGTCATAGCGACGAGCCAATCACGCACTCGCACTGCGTTGTATATTACGATACGAATAGCTGTGTTAGAAAGACAACGCGATAGGTGGTAGTTTGTCTCTTTACTATCTCCTCAAAATTACGATCGATAATCATTGCGTCTTGACTGAGCTGAGGTTCGTGCTTATCAAACCTCGAATGATTGAACAACGTAGAATTGTGATAACATTGTTTCCAATTACGACCCAAATTAAGTGTTTTTTTAGTTTTGACTTAGTATTAAAAGCTCGGCTCGAACTTCGAGCTTTTTCAAAATGCCTCGAGCCGAGCCGAATAATGAAAAGCTCGACCAAAAAGCTCGAAGGTTCGAGTACTCGCACACCCCTAGTTTTAGTACATAGTATTAAGAAATGATATTCAATTAGAATAATTTTTATCAACTTAATTAAATTGAGACTTATTATTACCTGAAGGAAGCTGGATGTATGGGCGTTCCACTTTTCCTCCGGCCGACCATGCCACGTGTTGAGCACGCTGAGACACACCTTTCCGTCATTGTAGAGGTTAGGGTTGAAGCGTATTGTATGGTGACCTGTCGTCTCCAAGTTGATCAACATGGGAGAGTTGGGGTAGTCAGGTGGAAAATACACATCCAACTCAAAACATCCATTGGCATATGGCGTCTCAGCTGGACCTGTTATTAAAACCTGGACACAAAAAATCATATATATTAAAACGTTACAGGGGTTTTTTATTTCACGATTCTGAATGAACCACTCGACGGATTTTCATGACTTTTGTGTTAAAAGAAAGATAATTTTGAGAACTAGGGAATGTCGAAGCCATAATTTTAGTTAAGGGTTTCAGTTTTTTATAAAAGTTTTAAATTTTAAAAAGTCTAGCAGCCGACGGTAACATTCTACTCTTAGATTTTGGTATAATACCATTTGCTTAATGTAACAGCTGTAAACATTCAGCGTTTTCGACACAAATTCAGCATTTGGATGAAAATGAAATGACATACGTAGAATTGACTTATTTATACTATGTGTAATGCTATAATCATTGAAAATGAATGAAATGAAATGAAAATGTGCTTTATTGTACAATTTAGAACATAAATACATTTTTTCACAGGCACATGTGCCTGTATACTATAATCATTGATACGTTCATTTAATCGGTAAGAGGATGATGTTCTAATTTATTTTTTTGAGCAGTCTTTAAAATATTTTGTTTTTTTTTTTAGTGAAATATAATTTGTTATACCTAACAGCTGGTTAAATAAAAAAAAAACTTTAGAACTATGAGATTAGTTTATTTACTCTGAAATAAGTAAGATTCCTATAACCATTGCTGTATACGAATCGAAGCTCACGAATCTTCAAAAGAAAAATTATGAAAATTATTTTACTACTCGACTTTTTGAGGAAAGGTTGGGAAAATAACAATGATCACATGTTTTAATTCATCTAGGAAGCTTTTTCTTTACTATAGATTTTGAACTGCTTAAACTATGCTTGAATTAGTAATAGACACACTATATTCAGTTTTAATGGACTACTCGATTCTCGTACATAGGAACAGTTAATGGACAACTATACGAGGCCAACAGCTTGTGTAGTTTTATTATAATTTAATTTAATATAGCCTTTCAATAATTTATAAGAAGAATGAACTTTATGAATTAACCAGTAGTGTTACTTAGGTAGAAAATCCATTAACTCAGGACAAGTGGATACATTTTACTCAACAAACTTAAGGAAGATTTATTTCAAGTAAAATTCAAAACTTGGACAATACCTTCATGATATCCAGACGGTCTGTGTCACATCTGACAAACACAGAGCTGCTGAATGACAGTGGTAATGAGGTAGACAATGTGACAGTCTCTTGAGCCAAGCGCTTTACTCTGGCTGGGTGACTCCTGTCTCCTCCCGCCCTCACATTCGACTCAAAGTGATAAGACACTACGAACTGGAACCCGTTACCATCACTTGACTCACTTATCATCTCATACGTCTCAAACTGCATCGGCTTCATCACTTCCAAATACCTGTCAACATCAACAACAACTTCAATGTTTGTTTTATTCACTTATCTTAACATGTTTAAATTTTAGAAAATAGTAATATTTGATTAAATATCCATTTCAGTTGCCACGCACGCTACAGGAGATTCAAAAAAAGATTCAAAATTTTTTAAACACACAGCAAACTGTACATGTCAGCTCCAGAGCTGAAAATGGACTAATTCTGTTTACAAATGATGCCAGTATATAGCCTTGTTGTGGCGTACAAGCGAACCTTAAGATACATACGCAAAAACGTCCCTTACTTAAAAAACTGCCCTTGTAGTACTTAGGGTTCTAAATTATTACCGTCATGATGAAATATTAATGGGCGACAGTTCAACATTGTTGAACTGAAACAGATGATTATTGCATCAAACAGTGTTGCAAAAAAGGGCCATATGGCCCTAACTGTGCCTGAACAAAAAATAATTTTTCATTTAATTTTATCTCAACACTGGCTGATTTTTTCAGCCAACTAGCGTGATGTGACGAAATGGCCGTAAATATTGTTTAAAACAGAGTATCTTAAAAAAATTAGTTTTCTCTCTTACTTATGAACTAGTGATGGTCGGATCCGGATATCGGACTACCGGGTCCGAGCTAGAACCGGCACCCGATCGGATCCAAAAAATTCCGGATCTTGGGCTGGATCCGGTTTTGATGGATCCAATTTTTTCCGCTTTTTTCCAGATATTTTTACTAACACAAAGCTGTCTGTATCCATGTAGCCTACAAGACAGATTTTCCCCATTTTTTTTACTAACACAAAGCTGTCTGTATCCATGTATCCAAGTACCCTCATCCGGTCTAATGTGGCGGCCGGTCCGGATTACGAAAAATCCGGACTATCGAGAGTCGAACAAATACACAGTACTGTATATAGCCGGATTTTTTCAATTCTGTTCCAGGTCCACAGTAATGATAGCCAGGAATATGCACTTCCACCGATAATGCCAGTTGATGGGCTGTTTTAAGTTTTTAATTACAACAGATTATTATTTTTCAGATGAGTTCAAAAACCTTAATGTTCATAGTTACAACTCAAGGCAAATGTTCTTTATTGTGCCTAGAACAACAAATAAATATTCTAAAGGAACAAGGGAATATTTAGTTCCATTCTTGTCAAACAGTTTACTGGTACAGCTGAGGAATATATGTTACTGTAGAGTTTTAAAGAAGAAGTAAATGTTAAAATCTGACTACTTTAAATTCTATGATTGGTTTGGTATATTATTGAATTCTTACAGAAAAACAAGGGAAACAAAAGACTGATAGAATAAAAAAAGCACTGTGAAATAACAAAAATTAGAATAATTGCTGCAGACAAGCCATATTGGCTGTAGTAGCTGAGTTGTGTATGTGTTTAGAAAATTTGTATTTTTTGGAAATAATAAAATATAAAAAAATAATAAAAATATTAAAATAATTTTTACTGCCGAATTTTGTTCCAGGTCCACAGTAATGATAGCTGGGCATATATACATCCACCGGTAATAATTTTTATCGTCAAATTTTGTTCCACGTCCACAGTAATGATAGCTGGGCAGTGGGCATATGCACTTCCACAGGTAATAATGTTTACCGCCGAATTTAGTTACAGGTCCACAGTAATGATAGCCGGGCATATATGCACTTCCACCAGTAATAATTTTTATCGCCGTGTTATCTGATTTTTTAATTATTCGAGGTAGTTTTGGTCTCATTTGGCTCGGATAGTCGGACTTCTACTGTACTGTGCCACTAAAAAAATCACGATTGCCGATCCGGACTACCGGGAGTCCGGACAAGGCCGATCCGGATGAGCGAGAGTCTACTGTACAAGAAGACTATCTGTGTCTGTGTAGAAGAACTAAGAAGACTATTCAATCAATCAATCAATCAATCAATAAAATCTTTATTCAATATTAGTACTCTGTACAAAGAATGGTGTCAATATTAATTAATACTAAGATACATTATAACTATGATTGATTAATACTAAGGCTGTCAAAACAAAAGATATAGTTATATGCATGAAGAGAACAGAACTAAAAACTTTCTTTACACATCATTTTTACATGGGAATTCGGAGAAAGAATATAATGTTAAATATGTTGTGTCTGTGTACAAGAAGGCTACCTGTGTCTATGTACAAGAAGACTCCTCTAAAATAAGGCAACTTTAAATCAGCAGCAAGTTTTATTATATCCAAACTATTTAATGGTTTTTCTGGAAGTCTTTAGATTATTTCCTATGAGTACATTTTTTTAAATTTTACTACCAGATCCCGTATAAGGTCTCAAATAGAGCCACTTACCACTTTTATTTTTCCTCTTACAGGCACATTTAGGACTTTTTTCTTTTTCCCAACAGGTTTTTTCTTTCTTATTTGTTTTTTAATTTTTGATGTCTTCCCTTTTCCTACACCAAGTTTTGCTTTAGTTTTCATTATGTTAGTACCAACCCAGGCAGCAGCTCTCTCACCAATACTAGAGTCTGAAGCTTTTACCCTTTCCCAAGCTAATAAGCTTTCAGCCACTGATCTAATTTTACTATCCTTCGATCTTGAGTATGCTATATCGTGGTTTTACGTGCAGCATCCAATTTATTTATGCCTGGATCACCCCTTGCTTATCTCTTCCTTAAATTCGTTCCAGGTCCACAGTACTGATAGCCGGGTATGTAAAATTCTACAGGTAAAATACCCTGTGTCTGTGTACAAGAAGATTATATGTGTCCATACAGGGTGAATAAAAAAGTCAAGACTCTCCCATCTAATATTTTTCTAAGTTAGAACTAGAGGTGTGCAGATAGTGAAATTTCATTTCGGATCGGATTTGGATCGGATAGTTGAGGCTCGGTTCGGATCGGATCGGATATTGGGAGGTTCGGATTCGGATAGTTCGGCGCGGTTAATAATAAGCTGCATATGTATTTTTAACCTATAAAACAATGTAAAGCTGTTTAAATAAACTTAAATGATGATTTTGAACTATAGAATTTCAAATTAGCTAAGTCCACAGTTTTCTCTCTCTTGAAAATCACAATTCACAACATTTATTTTCAAAAGTTGGATGCTTGAATTAAGTACACTAGCAGCCAAAATCTTCACACAACACCTTAGCTCTGCAGGACTGATATCAAACGTTTTGGCTTGTTTACTTGAGGTTATGTTTTATCTTGTTTCCTGGTTCTCACAAGCCAAGGAGTTCGATCTCAAGTTTATTTTCACATTGTATTTCCTTACGTTTTTGGAACAGATTATTGGCCTTAAGTGGCATTTTGCGGGTTTGCCAAGTTTAGAAAACATCACTAATGCACTAAGATGGGCTCTAGCTCACGATTTGATGTTGGGCAATTAAATTAGACTTTATAACTGTGTAAAAGATGTGTATCCCTGAATTTATAAATTGCATTCTACACTTATTCACTGCCAAACATAATTCAGTAGAACCTTGATGAACCGAGAATTACACTAGCCTACATAACTTCATTACCCCAAGTAAAATACCAAGATAATTTTTATAATTGTATTTGAATCGTATAATCTTAGTTTGTTAAAAATGGATTGTATGTTCAACAATGATTGCAGTCCATTATTGTTAAGCAGTATGGTCCCAAATTATTGTTTTTGATTTTGAAACATCACAGTTCATTTGACAAAATTATAGTTGAAGCAGCCCAATGTCAAGTCACGCTTGTGCAATAGTTTGTTTACAAGCTTTCTCCAGACCACGGGGGAGGGGAGGGTCTGATAAGCCGTCTATTGTTCACCCCCAAGAAGGTCCGACCCTCATTAGTGCCGCTCGGCTGCACTCAGTGGGGAACCCAATACCACAAATCAATCTTTTAAATGAATACAAATATTTGGTAATAATTGTTTTATTAATATTCACCTTGAAATTTCAATAAATTTGGTGTAAAATTTGACAAAAATCGGCCATTTTGACCGATTATTAATACAGTACAAAATACCAATAAAGTAGTACATTCATTGGTAATTAAATAATAGGTAAAAATTAACCGATTTTCGTCAAGTTTTACCCCCCTGCTGTGCGCTATGTCACAAAAGCTGATAACGACATGGGTGATTAGTAACCATGGCAACTTGTTGAATGCGTGATGAAGGGAAACCCAAGAAATAGAAGAACAAAGAGAAAGAATAACGACGTTGTTATCTTTATACCCTTTTTACAATTTCCGTTATTGTTAACTTTATGTAAGATTTTATGATTTTGTTTTATAGGTTTATAAAATAATTCTTTTTAACTACGGGAATATCAATTTATAATTTATCAACGTGCTTCTCTTCTGAAACAGCAATACCGGATGCATAATAAAGGTCAATGACCTAAAATATCACCATTGTGCAATATTGTATTTTGATGTTGGAATTAAAATCACAACAAAAGTTTGTATATATCCATGGTCCCTATAGTTTAATCATTTAATATGTACACAAACAATGCTAAATAATCGTGGTTAGTTCTAACTTTATTTTTTATTATTCAAAGTTTCTACACAGTAAGACAATCCAAAGTCAAACCGGGCAATGAATACCCAAAAAACAACGTATCTTGTCCTGTGATTGGAATAGGCTACCATTCGCCGGCCAGTCCTTTAGGTTTAGGGAAGTAGTGCAAGTCTATATATAGCTTCAAGGTCTTACCCACCCCTTCCCCTTCCGGTCCTACTTGACTCACTACCCGCGCTCCTTTTGAGGTCATTGCCCAACCCCTCCCACCTATTGTGTTGCCTTTCTATTGTTTCTATTCTGACTTTTTCGGGAAACATTAAATCTATTGTTTACGTAACATCACAGTAGTAGGCTAGATTTTTCTACTTACTTTGAAACAGTACTGTAAAAAAAACTATTACGCAGCGCCCCTAGTATCAGGAGCGAGACAAGCACGAGTTGACTTTCATTTGACCATGGTAGTTCTTTTCTGCTTTATGTCTGTTCGTTCCAGACGAATCTAATCGTAAAGCAAAACAGCCGATAA